TCATGCTTGGGATTGCCCCAACCCACGTGCATAACCTTCCAATTTTGTTTCTGCGCTTATTTACAGAGTAATTAATGCAAAAGGTTTCTTTACCTAAGAAAAGCATAAATTAATAGCTTCCAGATAGTGAAGCTTGTGAGTGTAGTTTATTTACTGCTGTTACAGACCATCTAATTAGTGCTTTTAAACTGCATTCATAGTTCTTGTCTCTAGCTTATCAAAATACATTCTTTGAAAAGAAATGCCAAATTTGAGGTTAAAAAAGTAACCAAACTTATTTTGTCTGCAACCAGGTTTTTCAGCGGAGGCTGTGGAACTGTTCTTCCTTGGCTCCTGCTACGTGAGGTCAGCTATGGAACATGCTCAAGAAAATGAAGCATGTCTTGAGCAAACCCAGAGGTATTGTGTGGAGAGACCAATATATAACCAAGAGCTCTTACAAGGACAGCTGCACAGACGAGAAAGAACACCTCAGACTTTAAGGCAGAAGATTGCACATTCTTGTCGGTAGGGGTTTTTGTCTTACCTTTATTTTATTGGTTAGAAATCTTCCCATTCTTAACTGATTCATGCATATAGCTGGTAATCTCTTCAAAGACACCTAAAAGATAAAAGCACTAGTTCTACTTTAATTATTCAGCAAGACTGTGATGAAGTTGTATATGTGTTTTTATACGTTAATATATAACTATATTACAAAATGTTGGATAAATTAGTTGAATTGCCTTCATCAAAGTGCAAAGGAAAAACATACAGCATAGGAATGTGAAGTATTAGTCAAATCACATGACATGAATTCATAAGACCCAGAAATGAAATTTGTGCTTCACATGATCCTTTCACAGAAGAAGAATGGAGATGTATGACAGCTGTGTAGAAATCTAAATTATTAGTCTAATAAGGACTTAATAGAGGCATTCTGTAACTTTTAACTAACTGCCTTGGAATCTAAGTATCATCTGGTTAGACAGGAAATGCAACTCATGATCTGTGATACCAGAGGATAGTGAAGAGAAACTTACTCTAGTTAAGTTCTCATTAGCTTTACATTTATCCATGCTTCAGTTGCAGAATTGATTCAATTTCTTGCTAGAACCTTGTTCTGCAAGACAGCAAATTATTTCTGCCTGGCCACTTGTCTGTAAAATATTCCTGTTCACATGATTTGACATTTGGAGATTTGTTTTGGTTAATGGAATTACCATTCTAATGGTAAGGGCACCTAATTCCACCTCAAAAACCTTATCTGTCCTGAATAAAAAATATGTGGATCAAAATCTTCCTGAGCTGTGACTTTGTGGGATTCAGTCTCCTTAAACATGGAGAAATGTGGATGACTCTAGTTCCTTTCTCGCTTGTAGCAATAAGCTGCTTCACTTTATGCATTTTATGCCCCATGAGAATTCAGAAATGTTAACAAGTCTCTGCAGTTCTCTTGCAGTTCCCCTACACAGAAAAGCATTAAAGCATTTATATGATCCCAGTGTTATATTTTTACCCAAGGTTAAACTTTCTTACCACAGTACAATCAAAGTATGATGCATGGCAGTACTGGATAGAGATACTAATTTCCTGGCTCTATTCATCATGAATCAGGGTTTCAAAAGGTCAATAACTCTGCTAAGAGACACAAAGATCAGTGTTGCTGGCTTCAGTGCCTTTCCTTTCAGGGTAAAGAAGAGTTATGTTCTCAAATAACCTTAAAGTTAGCCTATCAGTAGCAGTGATAGTAACAAGCACTAGTAAAATAATATTTTTTTTAAAAAGCGTAATACTATAAATTGTTATAATCAAAAAGTATAAAGCATGCAAATAGTAAATAAATATAGGAAAAAGCATTCCAAAGTATTCTGAGTGAAAATTACTGTCAGAAAGCAAGTTATCCTCAGGGAATTGTTACTAGCAGTGATCTCAGCAAAAAGCGTTGTGTGGCTGACTGCTCAATCCTGCGCGGACTTGAACAGTTTCACTTCCCACTGACCTCCAGCCTCACAAGACCATGATGCTCTTCTTCAGTTCCATAAAGTTTGTGAACAGCAACCAACATGTGATAAAGGGCTAAATTAACTGGAGTCATAGTTGTTTGTGCTTAAGCTTTGTCCACAAATTACTGTCATCAGGGATCTGAGCCTGCCTTTAATAGAGCTGTTTCCCTTCATAGGGATGAAATACAGGTTTTTTGACCTGTTTGTCCCTTGCTAGCATCTTAACTTTTTCTTTCTGCTTTGTATTTTCAGTTGTTCTTCTAAGAAAGCCAAGTCTCATCTTTACAGTTTCTTACCAATCTTAAAATGGCTTCCCCGTTACCCAGTGAAGGAGTACTTATTAGGAGACATTATCTCAGGTATAAGCACTGGGGTTATGCAGCTTCCTCAAGGTGAGTATCTCTCTGGATTTATTTATGCTCTTCTTTGCTTTCTCTATGTGTGCTTTTGCGATAGTGCTTGGCTTCCTGAACAGGTGCTCATGAGAATAGGATGTGCATTTCAGGTTGTGTGTGGAGATCAGTACAGTGTTCTGCAGACCAGCCCATAATGATGATTCCCTGAAAACTGCAAATCAGTGATATGCAGCAAACTCTGAAAGAAGTTCAGCTCTTGATGCAGAACAGCTTTTCACAGTTCAAGTGCATGTCTAAAGCTTTGCTGAATGCACCCACTTATTTTCTGATTTCCATCATCCTGAAGTTGTAGCAAATTCCCTACAGAGGGTAGGAGTATCTAATTGACATAATATTTCAGGAGAGCAACTGTTGCAAAGTAATCAAACTAAATTCAACCAGAGAAGAAGGTGCAAAAAATCAGAGATGGATCCCTCTTTTTCTTTTACCGCTAGAAGTCACCAGTTTAAGCTGGAAACATAGTAATGGGCAGTGATTTACATGGTGGAAATAAATCAAAAGTATCTTCTATAACAAGACTGCAAATCTGTGGAATTTCTATTAAATTACTTGGAAGTTTCACCCCAAGTGTAGCCTGTCCCTGAAGCAGGAGCAGGCGCTGTGGAAGACAAAGAGAAAGCCAGTGTTCACTGTTCTGTTCAGCTCTTGGTGACTAGACCAGTGGAATCTTTTGTTCAGCCTGACACCTTACTGTCAGCAGTGTCAGAACTGCTACAGGGTTAGCAAGTGACAGCATTTTTACAGCAGTATCATTTTGGGGTGCCATCACTGCTCTGGGAATGGCGGCTTCATGACAGCTGCTGCAGTCCCAGTAGATTTCTCCAGGAGGTCTTGGAGTAGAGGGAATTCGTGAATTTGTGCAGTGTCCAGCCCAGAGGAGTCCTCATGCTGAGTGTAATGTAATTAAGCCTATATAAGTTTACTTGCGTTTTGGCTTATTTCCTATTTCTGCCTCACTCGTTCCACTTTAGGCTGAGGCAGGCCTGAAGAATTAATCCATAAATCCAAGAAGCCTAGATTTTAACAGGTAGTAACCCATTGAAGCAATGGAATATCTTAACTTAGTCTGTGCAGTTGACTTCTTTATTTCTGTAGCTTCCTGGTTTTGTGCAATTTTATATAATTAAGGATATTTTTTCTTACACAAATATAAAGATCAACTTATCTTAAACTGATAAGTAATGTGGTTAACTATCAGGCAAATCTCTCTTATACTAGACACAAACATTACTGGTTGTATACTGAAACACAGTTTATGTGATGAGCAGATAAGGACACTGAAATTTTAGTGGTCAGCAGTGAACTTTATACTTAGTTTTGTGACTCTGTTTTAAACTAAACATTATTCTTCCCTTTGGTGACTGCAGACATGCCCTTAAACTGCCCCTAATCTTTCCCTTTCTAAAAAGACAAAAGTCAAACTTTTATTTTTCTGGAATGGGTGTAATTATAGCAAGCATGAGTTCAAAGAAGCCTGGGAATCATTCCAGGCAGGACTACAATGACCAGGGTGTTTAAGCCATGAATTCCTGTCATATCAATATCTCTTTATTTCCTTGGCACTGACAGTCTTTAAAAATGCCAGTACAAATGAAAAGGAAGAAAAGGGTATTCAGGTCAGGAACTTCATGTTAGACCCACCCTCCTGGTTTAGAAACCACCAGTTTTCAGTTCTGGTCACTTGTACTGTTAAGTTCATCACTGTATTAAAGGCCAGGCTGTTATAGTACAGGATGTTCTGCTGATACTCTTGGCACAGGGCGGAGAATATATGTGGGATGAGTTTCAGAAGTAATTAATGAGAAGCTTATTGCTGCAAGAGAATAAATTATATCGTCAGTCCAGTTCTGATAGGAACATGAATTCTTGGCTAGGACTCGGACAGTGGTTAGGGTATGAGCAAGGCCATGTGAGCTATTACCCTGCACTAGAGTGCTTGAATGACACAGAATATCTCTTCCTGGTTTTGTTCTTTTGTTGTAACTTGATGCTTTGTCTCTCAATTTAAAAATAAATTAATAGGGAGAGGTGTGTTCTAGTATCACTAGCTCTCCATTGTGGGGAACCATTGCTTCCTTTTGTAGTTTGCACTGGACTGTTGAGCTTTTCCGTGCTAACTTGGCCCAGTCTGCCCAAGTGTGGTAAGAACACACAGCTTCCTCAGGTATCGTGAGTCTGCACTTACAGAATCATAGAATGGTTTGGGTTGGAAGTGACCTCAAAGTTCATCTAGTTCCAACCCCCCTGCCATGGGCAGGGACACCCTCACTAGACCAGGTTGCCCAAAGCCCCATCCAACCTGGCCTTGAACACTTCCAGGGAGGGGACATCCACAGCTTCTCTGGGCAACCTGTTACAGTGCCTCACCACTCTTAACAGTAAAGAATTTCTAACATCTAATCTAAATCTACCCTCTTTTAGTTTAAACACATTACCCCTTGTCCTGTCACTATACTCCCTGATGAACACTTGTGAAGGTGAACTGGAGAACCAAGCCAAGATACAGGGGTTTCTTCTTGAGGCTCATTTGGTCAGTTCTGATGTCTAATTGTCATTAACACAAGCTGTATAGAACTATTGATTTTGCTGGAACTGAGCAGAACAGTTATGCTCCATATCATGTGGTGCACACGGTTTACTTGTGAGCCTGGTCCCATGATAAGCACACACTCAGTCACGCAGGGACAGAGCACCATGGGAGGTGTCCCTCCCCAGCATCCCTTAAAGCTGTTCCCCCACAGCTCCGTTGTAGTGCTTGCCAGCCCCTCCTACAAATAGGAATGGTGTGGATTGCATTTCCACTGTGAGGAACTGAACAGAGCTTAATGACAAAAAGGACTTTGTTTTTGGGAAGAATACCAGACTGTATAAGGTCTATGACCTTACAGATTGTAAGCAATGATTCTCTGCTTATTTCACATTTTGGAGCATGTTTTATGGAAACATAAACTGTTATGTCATCCCACTTGTTCTGGGCTGAGGGAGGAGGGAAGTGTTTAATCAGTCATAGATTACCATGAAGATCATGTCTGATGAAAAAAGGAGGAGAAAAATCAAATGTGTCCCACTGGTTTTGGGTGTTTCTAATGACATTCTTTGACAGATGAAAACAAAAGCAACAAAAAGTGTTTGTTGGCTATTAAGAAGTACTTTCAGCCACAAAGACAAAACAAGGAGTGCACAGATGTACACATAAACACACACACACACACCTGCAGTGCCTGTAATTAGAGACTTCTGGTTTCCTGACTCAAACTGTCAGGTTTCTAGGCACTGCCCTACAGTATTATAATATCAAAGAGTATTCCCTGCAAGACTTCCTGTTTTTTAAACCTGTGATATGTCACTAGATTTCCTATTATGTGAGTTCAGTTTTAGTAGGCTTAAGTCCTTTTGCTTCAGATGGTTTCTTTCTGTTGTCTGCCTGACATATATGTTTGTGTCTGTTTTCCAGGTTTAGCCTATGCTTTGCTGGCAGCTGTTCCCCCAGTATTTGGCCTATATTCTTCATTTTATCCTGTTTTTCTATATACTTTTTTTGGAACCTCCAAGCACATATCAATAGGTATATCTGTATGGATAACTGAAAGTCTGTGTGTGTGCGCATGTGTTTAATACAGTTGTAAAAAAAATAATAATTGGAGAAATAGAAAGTGTAGTTGTTTTCCATAAATTCAAATTTAAGTGAATAGGAGAAACACAAATATGTCAAACATTATCAGTAATTTTTATCGTTAGTTTATCATACTAAAGAAGGAATAGAAGAGCATCTTTTATCAGATTAGATCTAGAAATGTGCACTGTGAACTTCTGAACTATAATTTTATCGTTGCAATCAACTGTCTGTGTGGCCGGGATGAATCTTTAATTTGCGTAATAGAAAATGAAGTAGAAAAAAAAAGATGTTTACTTACCCTAGAAGGGTATGTTCACCATCTAACTGGCTTTAATGGTGCTGAATATTGGAGCAGATTTTGGGACTAAAAAATTATATTATTTAGGTAGAAAACTCTTATTATAGTTTAATTCCACATATCTCTTAATAAGAACCACTCTAAAAAAAGAAAAAAAAACACCTGCCAGGTTTTTAACCAATGAATTTCCTCTCCCTTTTATTTCAGGCACCTTTGCTGTGATTAGTATGATGGTTGGCGGTGTTGTTGTGAGACAAGTACCTGATGAAATGATTTCTGTAGGCTATAATTCTACTAATGTTACAGATTCCCTTGAATACACCAAGAGGGTGCAGGTAGCTGTGACTCTCGCCTTTCTTTCAGGAATTATCCAGGTATGGGCTTTCAGTTTGCTGTAAGGGCAAGTTCAGATGCTGCTGCTAGACTTGCGGTTGCAAGGGGTGCTGGGTGATGGCAGATCCCTTGTCAGTAGGCTTGTGCTTCGGCACTGCTCCGTGTAGAATGCAGGCTGCTTTGTGGCAGCCATGTAACTGAAGTAGGGAGGGATACATTGGAGGCAAGTCTTTGCCTGGCACCCTGGCTTGACTGGGAAAAATGGGACCTCCTCCCTTTCATTTTTTCCTATGGCATCAGAAAAACTCAACCTAATGTTTTCTAATCTGTTCATAAATGCATACAAACACATGTGTTTACCCATATCCCACATTGCACCTGCCAGTGGCATGGAAGATTTGGTCCTTACTGAACTGTGGCTTTAGAAATGCTAAGTTCAGGTTTGCCTGATCTGGCTTGGGCATCGAGGTAAGAAGAGGTGTCCTGTGGCCCATCTGCTATATGGTGCTATTGTTCAGGCTGCAGTGGGAGTCACATGGTTAATGTTTCTCTTCTTTATTAGTTGTGTTTAGGTCTCCTTCGATTTGGATTTGTAGCCATCTATCTAACGGAGCCTCTGGTGCGAGGATTTACTACTGCTGCTGCGGTTCATGTCTTTACTTCTCAATTAAAGTATCTCCTTGGCATTAAAACTAACCGATACAGTGGACCCCTCTCAGTTGTATATGTGAGTAACTACATTTACTAAACATGCAAATTCTGCATTGGCTGGATCTAGTACTGAAACCTTTTCCTGTATTTTTTTTTAATTATTTTGGCACTAAGTAGAATAATGCTTCAGTATTCGAAACTGGGTATGAGGTCTTGAAGTGCCATAGCACTATATGAGCATCTTAAAGTAGTTTTGCAATATGAACAGATAACGTTCATTGAAGCAAGTCTCTTGTACATGGTGGGAAAATGTGCTACCAAAATGCTTCACTGTAGACGAGACGTGTTTTGCAAAGGTAGGAAATGGTATTCTCAGAACCTTGCCCAGTCTGTGTTCTTTAATTTCACACACAATTCCTGATGGGAATATTGTTCATTTCCTGTTTGTAAGATGTTTTGTAGTGTGGTTGGACGCAAAGTGCTGAGTCATCGTGAATGTACCTGTTCTTTAGAGCAGTGCGAAAAACTATTTTGAAATAAGGACATTGTATAAAACATTGCTATTTATCAAAGACCCTAAGCATTAAAACTGATTGTTCAGAGTATGTAGGGATCCAGTATTTCACATAGCTCATAGCTTCATCTTCCACTCACCTTCTGTCTAACACGTAGTGATGTGAGAGGACAGAAGAAAAACCATGCAGTATAAAGCTACAGTTTCATTAGTACGACTTAAGTAAAACCAAAAGCTCTTGTTCACTTGAATTTAAAATTAACAATTGTGCTCTGAAAAAAATGTAGTGGATCCCATGCAACAAATTATTTGTTAAAGGGACGTTTCAAATTGAAATCACAACCAAAGTTTTTAAGTTTACATGAGCATTGCTTTTCTTGCTCTTATGAACAAGCAGAGTTGAAATGCATCTGAATCTGATCAGCCTGCCAGTCTAGGAAACCCCAAGTTGTTATCACAAAATCAATACTCTGATTTTGCAGACAAGAACTCCTGAGTGGAAAAATAGGGAAGATCTCAGACCCAAGCTCTTGAGCAGATTGATGGCTCAGCAATAACAAAGCCTCAGGATTTCAACTACATGGAGACTATAGAAAATACTTTGTGGGGATCTTTCTTGTATATTTGTGCAGATATAATAAACCCTTTGGAAACAAGGCTGCAATAATGATTAATTCCTAAATTTGCTGTTTAGTTCACTAATCCAGAAACCAGACATGCTAACTGCCAAAGTAGTAAGAGGGAATGTATACATTTGAGATGTACTACCAGGACATCTTGAATGTATAATATCTTGATAGTTGCTGTAATTTTCCTTCTGTCTAAAGAAGGGTATGCACATCTTCTTTCAAAGACCTGTCCAGAGGTCATTTATCTATTTTTTGGTTTTTTAAGTGCAGTGAAAGAAGGAAGAGTAGTTGGTAAGAGAATCATTTACCCTCTAGCAACATGTGCATTCCAGCAAGCTTTCTTTCCTAACACCCTTTTAATAGTGTTTTCAACTAAAAGATATTTGGAATAATGGCCAGTTCAGCAGTGTTGCAAAATCACTTTTATTTAATCATATTGCTATGGTAACCTCAATGGTTGTATCAACAGCTTTATCGTTTTAGAATGGTTTATGCAGCTCTAAGTAAATGTGACTTGCCAAAGAATATTTGAAGGTATTAGAAGGAGTTTGCATTTATTGCTTTCAGGTAGCTGCCAGTATGAAATATGTTTGAAAATGTTGAGGGTAAGAGATGTGGTTTCTTTTAGACTTTTCCTCCCATGATATTTTTTTTTCTCCAGATTTTTGCCCTATTTAAGGAAGACTGATATTGTAAATGATTGCAAGTGAATCTCCCTCACTGAGATACTCTGAATTTCTGGTTTTTGTGGGAACAATGAGGATTTTGGTGAGGCACTGATTCACTGTGGTTATAAATGCAGAATTAAAACACAGCTGAACAGCCATGTATAATTTGCTCTTTTGTGGCAAATCTCCATGAAGATTATATTTTCTTAGGAATAATTATGATACTTCTGTTGTGTTACAGAGCATAGCTGCTGTGCTTTCAAAAATAACGACGACCAATATTGCTGCATTGATTGTTGGATTAACATGTATTGTTCTATTGTTGATTGGCAAGGAAATCAATCTCCGTTGTAAGAAGAAGCTCCCAGTTCCTATTCCTATGGAGATCATTGTGGTAAGTCAGCTGTAAAATTCTGTAGCTAAATTATATAACTGTTCTAAAGCTGTAGAACTCTCATTTTCTATCAAGTCTTACTGAGCTTTAGAGTAACTTCTGTTGAACATAATTCATTTGAGGCTTGATCCAGTTGGAGGGTTGGATACTCATAAGGTTAGGGACTGGACACAAAGTCCCAAAGAAGAATTGAAAGCCCAGTTAAACACGCATAGTCCCCTATGGCAATGGGTAGGTGGAGATTTGTTGTAAAACCCACTCTATCCTGGAGTTTCGGCACCTGAGTGATTCTCTGCAAGACATGTCTGTGAGTGGCATTTCCGACTTGGAGTCCAAGAGCTCAGAACCCCCTCGTGAAGGAGGGTACTTACAGATGCCTGTTTCAGAGGTTCTGCAGGGCTTGCTTACATTTTAAAATGCAGTGGTGGAAAGAAGAGCAGGAACCAGTGGGACCTACTACTAAACCTTCCTTTCTCTGTTTCTGAGACTGATAACTGACTGCAGTGTTGATTCTGTTTCAAATGACTACTCTAAAATACATGGATAAAGCAGGCTATCTTAATATACACACAAAGCCTACATCTCAGATAACCTTTCACCTTTAAAAGATGTTGGATTTAAGAATGAGTTCTTGGATAACTAGAGCTCTCAAACAACCTGCACAAAATCAGAGCCAAGAAAGGGAATAACTGAAAGTATGGGTACAATCTAGATAGAAGGAACAAAGAAAAGGGATGCTGTTGAGAGATGATGGAGATGGTGTAGTAGGGTATTGTTTGATGGTAAGGCAATAGCAAAGCGATCTTAGACCTGTTCCTTTCACTACTGCTGCACCAGTTCTGTTTACAGATAGCGTGCAGGCTATGCACATGAAAATATGGCAGTGCAGATGTCCTTGGCTTGTCCTTGCATTTAATTTCCTAATACACTATTCTGCCTGAGCTTGGCTCAGGCAAAGGGAATTCAAGTGATTCAGATCATACCATAGCATGTTCCATTTAACTATTTCCAAAAAACCTTCATAAAATCAGTGGGGGTTGAACATGATGGAAGGAAAATTGTGATACTTCCTCCTTTTTATCTGCTTCTTTATCCCCTAACTCTTAGAAAACTGATTGACAAATAAATGTAATCCCTTGTGTGTAGTTTTCATAATTAGCTGTTACTAGTTCTTCAGGTTGCTTTATCTCTTTCTAGCTGATGTTTACAAATGTGTTTGTGGATTTTTAGGTAATTATTGGCACAGGAGTTTCAGCTGGAATGAATCTGAATGAGTCATATAGAGTGGATGTTGTTGGGAATATTCCTCAAGGGTACGGATGCTATATTCGTATTCATACTATACCTTTTGATATGGCATGCAGCTTTTATTGTAGTAATTTGTAAATATTTATTTAATCTCCAAGGTTACGTGCGCCAGCAGTTCCTGACATTCAGCTCATCCCAGCAATATTTGTGGATGCAATAGCAATAGCAATAGTTGGATTTTCAATGGCTGTATCAATGGCCAAGATCTTTGCCCTTAAACATGGTTACACCATTGATGGGAATCAGGTAAACGTATTGGGGTTGCTTTGTTGAAAATCCTCAGTAGCACCTTTGTTACATCGTTAAAGTAGAATGGGATATTGGGCAAAAATTAGTTTTTCTTTCATAGTGGAACCAGGTCAGGTTTTTGACAGCCTACACATTTAAATGCCAGGAATTATTTTAAGATCTTCTTCTGGCTGTGTTTTAATAACCAGTTTCACTTTTGACTTCATTTTGGGAAACTCACTTCTGTTAGACTTGGACATATGCATGAATATTAATTGTTGGGAGAGACACTACTTAGCCTGCTGTCCTGATGGGCAGCTACTGTATCTCTGCTTTCTCTAACAGAGTGAAGCATAGAATTCCCATGTGATAAATAACGATGCCTTAAGTGTCAAAGAACTATTATCTAAGATTTAGAAATTCCAATTATGTTTTATAGTTTCTTTTTATTCCCACTCACTGCAAGTAGGCAGCTCATCATTTTCTGGGGCAGCAATTGGCGCTGTCCATAGTTAGCATTCTCATCATAATTTGAGTGATAAAGACTGTGGGTAGGGACCCTCTAAAACTAAACTGATATGTCATCCTCACCTACTCTGTCCTTTCTGTGCAGTCTAGAATCAATATTGCAACTGCATTATTGGTTGAGATCATTGAGATTATTGGTTGAGATCTGTCAAGGGAGACAGAGAGTTCATATGCTGTAACTCGTTTCCTAGAGCAAGCATCTGACACAGCACAGATCAGCTGTTCCCCCTTCTCAAAACGGCTGTCTTACTCTGAGAGTAAATGGCGTTTAAGTGACTTTTACCTACAGAGTTTTACATCTAGTCAGATGAATCTCATCCTTCATATCATTGTTTTCTGTTACCCAAAGAGAGAAGGGGACAAATCTGTAGCTGCGTGAATGGAATCAGTGCTATTTACGTTAGTTAAAGGAATCATCGCTGACCTGAGTTAAGCATCTAGATCTTTTTCCTCAGGCAGTGCCAGGTGCTACTTCACCTGGATGTTAAACTATAGAACTCCTTGTCACCTGATGCAGTGCATGCTGAGTGTTTAAATGAATCAAAAAAGGATTGCACGAATGCAAAGAGAAAAACTCATTGAGAACTGTTGAAAACATGTAATGCAATTCACCTCAGTTACAAATAGCAGGCTGCAGAGCAATCTGTGGAGGCCTCATTACAAGCAAATACTTTCTTAGGCATCAGAAGTACAGTACTGAGGTAGATGCAGCTCTGATCTCTCTCATGGTAACAGTTCTCACGTGGGATTTTTACACATGAAAGCAGTAGACCCGCATTGGTTTTTTCACGTACAACAGTGGATTACCACCCATGGTAACACAGCCAAGGCCGCTCTTGGTTCTAACGGTACTAAACAGGTAGTTTAAAGTGGGAAGCAAAGAACAGTGTTTGTATGAGAAACCGTTTTCCATGTGTATTCACATTTTTGAAATTCAAGTTATCCCCAAGTTGAAGAAATCCTCAAAACAAGCAATGATGTCATTCATTTTAGTTTTCAGTGTGACTCATTACAGTGACATTTAAGGATGGGAAATATCTTGAACATTTCATCAGATACCTTATTTAACAGATGATTTAACAGGCATCAACTTGCACATGTGTGAGAACCACAATAAGATTGCTTATTCTCTACAATAAGGTTGCTAGAAAGCACTGTAAACAGATGTGGTTATTAATACGTATGGATAGGTCTAGCTTCGTACACTTGCTAAGTATAACTGCCTTTTGTTTTGCCCTGTTGTTTAATGCAGGAACTTATTGCCTTGGGAATATGCAACTCTGTGGGATCATTTTTCCAAAGCTTTTCAGTCACTTGCTCCATGTCTCGGAGTCTCGTTCAGGAAAGCACTGGTGGGAAAACTCAGGTATGTAAACCTAAATTTTGAGCCAAAGTATACTTTTTTGAGCTCCAAAGCTAAAGTCTGAAGCTTCACTAGATTGCCAGATTTCTCCGCTTAGGCCAGAAGGAATAACTGGAGTTTCCCATGTTCAAATCCAGGATAGCAGACTGCACAACGGTCAAAACAGATGAACTGAGTGGGAGGAAGCAAAAGCCACTTAAACACCCAGCCTTGTGAAAAGCATGAGAGGGGTTAGCTAATCAGTAATACACTTCTTAAAACTCTGACATAATTTCTTGCTTATTTTGTTCAGATTGCAGGTGCACTCTCTTCAATTATGGTTCTGTTGGTAATTGTGGCTATCGGATACCTCTTTGAACCACTTCCACAGGTAAGAGGCCAGCAAATATTGCTTAAAATAGAGATTGTGGGATCATTAGTAAGTAAACATAGTTAGGTCTTGATCCTGAAACCTTTAAATTTTGTATGCATTTTTGCTGTAAGTTAGACTAGAAATTAGTAGTATTTTGAAGGATCCAGCATGATTTTTGTTTGTTTTTAATATTGGACATTCTGGACTCTGTCTTTAGAACATTAAAATGCCTTGCAAACAATTCTCCTTTGCAGCGTAGGAATTTTGGGAAGAGGTTAAGAAGTTACTTTATTTTAAAGTAACAGCTCAGCTGGGAAAGGGTTGGGGCTAGGTGATGGCTTTGCATAATGAGTTGGTTTTGATATATTCTCACTTAAAAAGAAAAAAAAAAGCTTGGTTCTGGAGCATGTATAGGATGATGTGCAATTTCTGGGTTTTTTTTATAGATTTACCTTGAGTTACACCTCTATGACACCTGCAGGAAGTGTTTCATTATATTGTAGAGAAACTTGAATTTGAGATTATAGCGTAGCTGCTTCAGGCACTAGAATTGCACGGAGCTCAGGAATATGTGATTTCTCTTGCCAGGAAAGAGTAAATCAAGCCGTACTGCCTCTGGCTTGCCATTTCTGCAGCTCCAGTAAAAGTATATCTCCACTCAAGTACTTGAAAAGTTGTTTGGTTTTTTTAATGGCACATCTATTCAGTAGACTTACATCAGTTGTACAAAGCACAGAAATATGGTTATTTGTGATGCTTTGAAGTTTTTATTTGGTATTGGGTTTATTTTGCTTCTGAAAACTGTATTTGTGTAATATTCCTAGACAGTGCTAGCTGCAATTGTAATGGTGAACCTGAAAGGAATGTTTAAACAGTTTGGAGACATCGCACACTTCTGGAGAACCAGTAAGATTGAACTGGTGAGCAATACACAGCTCAGTGCACATATTTACTGCATTAAGTTTGTTGTTCCTCTTCTTCCTAACCCCCAAAACAGGATAGAAATTTACCAAGGAGTTATTGATGTTGCATTACAGATGAACATAAGACGTGGAGCTGTAAGTACCCTAGGAGAGTGATCTGTTGCAGAGAAGAATGTTTTTGTTGTTGTTCAACAACCTTTAACTCAGGTCAGAAGTAGTTTAGATGCAGTAAAAGCAAAGCTTTTGCAGTGTTGCTATAGGAACTGCACTGAAGGCTGTGGGAACATTTGAGAAGAATTTGAAATACAGAGTAACAAAGAAAAATACTTAAAGGTAGTTGCCATCTTTCAAGACAAACAAAAAACCTGGCCAGAACTAAGAGTGTGTCCAGGGAACAATTTGGTGGCATTTTTCTCCTGGATTAACTGGGTAATTGAAGTAAGTGCAAGCTGCTTGCAGACCTGCCATATTTTACAGGTTTTTTTAATCCCAAAGTATTTAGAGTCTGATGGTAACACAGGATTCCTTGGAGAAGAGGACTTAAGGCATTAATTAATATGTGACAGTTTGTCAGACCTTATGATAGTGTGCCTTGAGCTTTTATGCCTTTCTGAAAGGTTAAGGCAATTACAGTCTGCTATCGTGATGGAGTACATTATAGCCTATTGCTGAACAGAAGAGATACACAGGTTTTGAGGTTGGATTATGCTATTGTTTTTGCTGTTAACAGAAAAGGATGCATAATAATTCAGACCTTTTCTTTGTTTTAGGCCATCTGGGTGGTAGCTTTTGTGGCTTCTCTTTTCCTGGGACTAGACTATGGTTTGCTTACTGCAGTAGCATTTGCAATGATAACCGTTATTTACAGAACACAAAGGTCAGATTTCTTCTTTATCAAAATTAGTGTTTGCTGATCTTCTATGTAGTTTTGTTTAAGTGGTGCAAATAAGCAGAAGACCTTTCCACCCTCTTCAACCGCATGCAGTATAGAATCTGCTTCATAATATAGGTCATACCCTGTGGCTCTATTCCAGGGTTCACATTTTATTTTTCTGAGAACAAATTTTCTAGAGGGCATGAACTTGCAATTTCAATAATAAACAGGAGATTTTTGATTTCTTATATTGGTTAATCTTCTTGTTTACTTTTTTTAATGTCTAGAGTTTAGAACTTCAAATCTACTTGATGCCAATTTCAGTAAATGATTACATTCATATATACTAATTGTCACAGTCAAGCAGAAGTTGTGGCAGGTTATCACTAGAACGTTTAGGTATTTATAAGTTCTAATTCATAAAAAAATTGTGCCTGGCCTTTTAGTTTTTCAAATCACTTCTCTCTCCCCATTCAAAGTGACAAAGCTTTTACTGTGAAGCTTTCCAGGTCTACAGCGAAATGATTTCTTGCATGTGTGGAAAGGGCTGTCACATGAGGCTTCCAGGCTCCAGCTCTGGGACATCTAGGTGAAAGATGTATGAATGTCTTGGTTTCAGTCTGTATTGGAATGAAACCAAATTTTGAGATTTCCGCTCTGCATAAATAAGAGTATTTTTCTGGCGTCTCCATATGGTTTTGTTCTTGCAAACAGAACAGTGATGTACTTTGCTGTCATGCTGCTTGTGAGTTGGGAATACTCATCTGCGCCGGCATTGTCCTGGGAGCAGAGTGGCTCTTTGACATTGCAGCATGTTTTCTGCCAGATTGAGTTTCCTTATTTGCAAGATAGTCAACGGCGTTGCACCAGTTCATGCTGAAGAGAATTGCCCTGTACCTTTACGTGTCATTCAGAAAATGACAACATTACAGTGCTAAGTTTATAAATTGTTTTCGCACTGACAGAAGCAAACTTGTCTGGTCACCAAATGGCCCCTTTCTTGTGTTCCTGCCATAACCTGCCCACTGCATTTGAACACATTTAGATAAGTCTGTACCAGACAGGCACTGCAGAATGACCATTTAAAATAAGTTTCAATCTGTATTAAACAATTACTGTTCTACTTTATACGTGGTAATACTGAAACATTTGCTTCCATTTCTCTCTAGCCCTCAATACAGAATCCTTGGTCACATTCCTGACACTGACATCTACTGCAATGTGGAAGAATATGAAGAGGTAGGAGTGTGTTTTTCTGCACTGAAGAGTTTTATGTAGCGGAGCAAAGACGACTGTGGTAATTTGCTGCTTAGCCCTACCATACTGCACATATAGTGCTGTCTGCCTGTGTTGAAGGAAAAGAAAATAAATTTGATTTTAGTAGTGAAAGCTATTTTGTTCAAAACGCTAGCTTTTTGTACTGCCTGTACATTTGACCAGAAAGTGATCAAAAGTAACCTTTATACCAGTTCCGTTGTACTAGCTTGTACAAAATGTAAGGTTTATTGGAATAGCACTGCTAAGCCTGCCATGTACACAAGTGCATACAAGGCCACCTTCTTTACTCGTGTGGCAGTATTGCATGAAATCCATGGGACCCAGGATCCAAACTGATACGTTCTTCAGAATTGCACAAACTGTTCAAAACAGCATCTCCCTGCCTCCATCCATCCCCTGCTCATTAAATATACGTGATGAATGGCACAACTGCTTGCCATGTACTTTGCTTCTTATAAATGACATTTTGTTGAACCAAAAGTTGGTGGAAACAGTACATTTTGTACATGGATATAAACATGCTATATTGATTCATAAAGAGCAACTACAGAAAACTCGGCTCTCTGCCATGTTCTCGGAGATGCTGCTATGAAGGCTACATCCCGCTTTACCAAGGAACCAGTCTGTAAAAACCTATGTGAAAAGATGATGCTGTAATCTGAAAACATTCTCTCAGCAGCAGTTTTGCTTTGCATGTGATACAAAGCAAAAGTATACATGGGCATGTTTATAGCTGTGTGCAAAGAAGAGGAGACTCTGGTTTCATTATACTGAATGCAGTTAGCATTTCCTCCTCCTGTATAAAGAGGGGGTTGGCAGCATATGGCAGGCTGGATTTCTGCTGCTGGCCAGGTCATTTGCATGTAAAATGTCAGAGTGCAGCCTGTTCAGAGACAACTTCAATTAAAGTAGAGGAAAGAAGTGATATCAAAACCTATCTGAAGGCCTGTTTAGAACCAAAGATTTGAAAGGCTCTTTTTTTTGGTGCCGGAGACAAGAAAGAAAAAGAGAGAAAGGGAGAAATAAGTCATTGTGCCTGTAGAAAGGGAGGCTGAAAGGCAGCATTCCTAGATCTGCATGATTTCCTTATGGTAATACCAGCTGCAGATAGCAACATCAGAGAACTGCAAATATTTAATTCCTTTTTATGGCTGTACATTTTGTTGTTATAAAGAAGGAGAAATGTTACATGGCATTAACTGTGTGCAGTATTACACCAGGAAAGGGGGGGTTCTGATTGGCTTTGCTTACGACAGTGCCAGCCTTCTTTATTTGACACATGCTGACAGCCGTTCAGGGTTGGCTGTTGGGCTGCTGCACGTTCAGGTGTCTTCTGCTCACACGGGTGCTTTTCTTCTCATGCAGGCAATACTTAACTGTGCACACCCAATATTCTTTTCCTTAGGTTAAAGAATATCCTGGAATAAAAGTATTTCAAGCTAATGCATCACTTTATTTTGCCAATAGCGAGTCATATGCAAGTGCACTGAAGAAAAAGGTGAGTAAAGCAAATGCCTTAATATCTGTGTCTTGAAAATTCAAACTGGTTTCTGAAACATGCTGATCTTTCAGATTCTTTAGTGTACCTCCTAGCACAGTGTTTCTCAGCCTGTTGCCCCTGGTGATCAGTAAATATGAGAAGGTGACCCTCCAGCCAACTGCAAATCATCTGAGGGAGCAACAAGGTGGTGGGAGGGAAGTGTAGCTTAACACTAACTGTTTGTGAATGGACAGTCTGGTGGTTGCAGAGCACAAACTGGTCAAACACATTTGTTTTTTCAGAAGGAAATAAGTAGTTGCTGAACTGAAAACAAAATGTCTGGGAGTTAAAGCTTCCTTCCTGGGTGACAAACTTTACTGGAGTGTAAGACCATGGAATACTGTGGGCATTTCATGCCTCTCATGAGCAACAAATCACTGCATACAGAGTACGCCTCACCTCCTGTCTAACCAGTGTTTGACCGGGTGGGAATGGCAATAACAGAACCAGCTAAGGGCAGAACTGCCTGACCCAGTACCAGCTGCACCCTTATTAACTTCTGAAAAATTTTCCTGTAGCTCCCATGATGGGTCCTATACAGAACCGGTGGGTGGTACTTCTCGCAAAGCAAGAGGTGTTAGCGATTTATGCCCAAATGTACTTCTCTCCCCTTTCCTCTCTGCACTCGAATCAGTGTTCGGTTGAAACATGGCACGCTGATTTCAAGAAAACAGCGTGATGCATCTCTTCCTCATCTTGTTAACACAGTGCTTGCCAAGATTATTCCTTCTTACTTTATACTGTTCTCACCCCCACCAAGGGAAGCTGAACAATGCAGGCTTGTGTTTTAAATTTATGGTAGTGATGAACTCAGTGCTAATTGATACTGCAATGTCATCCTAACAAGCTGAATCTCCTCTGATTGTGCTTTCTTTCCATGACAGACTGGAGTGGACCCTTGTGCCATATTAGCAGCAAGGAGAAAAGCCCAGAAGAGGCATGCCAGGGAAATAAAGGCAGCAGATGAACTCAAAAAGAAAGCTGTATTGAAACTAGTGAGTTCTTTGGTAAATATTTACCTCTGCTTTATCAGCTAACATGCTGCTTTCCGGTGTTACCATTCTTGTTTATACAAGGTGCAGAGTGCTGTTCAGGTAGGAAGGCTATGGGAGCAAGCACTGTGCAGCGTGACCAGGCTACTGAGGGAACAGCGTAAGGATCAGAGGCTCGTGGCTGGATTGGATAGTTGTGTTGAACCTTGGTTACATTCAGGTAGCACATAGCGGAGCAGAGCCTTTCCACGCTGTCATAGCATCTCAGCAGTGGTGTCGGCAGAAATTGGAGGGACCCTACCTCTGCCCCTCCACACACACTTGGAATAATCACGCTGAAATAGGATATAATAAAATTAATTCAAATTAGCAGCCCCTGTAATAAAAAGGAGCCCTCCGTACCACTGATCCTGGCCTGGTTAAGTGCGGCAGGTACATTGAGGAGGGTTGTCTGAAACTTGCTTGTGCTTTTGAGCATGTTTAAATCCACCCCCGTGGTGGGAGCTGGTGTGTGCTTTTTACCATGGGAAACCAACCGAACGCCTAACCAAAGAGCCCAGTTGCTGTTGCGTCTTTTGAATATGTAGGCCTTGACAGGATCAGTGGGGATAAGGCAAGGAAATGGAGTAAAAACATATGAACAGGTGCCAGTGTTTGAGGAAATGGGTAATTAACTCCTAAGATAACAGCTTTAAGCTGCTAGCATGTGACTGTAGAAAGGCTGGGCATAAGAGAATAAACTTTGACATACGTCAGATAAGTATGTGTGCATGTAAAGCCAGTTTCTGTAATGGTCAGGGGCTGTACACCTTTTAAAGGCTGAAAGAACAGATGAGTATGGGGAGGAAGGGGATCTACGCTGGAAAAGCAGTGGCTGTCATTAAGCTTTATTTACCTTCTCTCCCAGACTAACGACATGGAAGCAAGTGTAAAACATGAGATAGCAAATGATGAGTTACCTGTAAATGGCAAATTTGCACCTGCAGATGCAAGTGTCCAGGACATGTCTCCTGATGAGCACGAACACTTTGTGGAGCCCAAAACAAACATCCACTCTTTAATTCTGGATTTCACCCCGGTGAACTTTGTGGATTCAGTCGGAGCAAAAACATTAAAATCGGTAAGTAGGGCTTTTCCCCCCCAACCTGTGAGGTACCTAATAGGGAACCTGTCAGCACAAGACACAAACGCCAGCTCAAATGCAATCCCATATCTCACCTAATCACGGTTTTAATTCTGTAACTCTGTATATTTTAGCTGAATACTGGGGAACGTGGACTGTGCAGCTTTCACTGTAATTGGCTTACATCTTCCAGAACTGCGACGTGTACAGTGATATACCCGTGTTTAACTTCAGTTTAACTCTGTTGCAGATTATAAAAGAATACAAAGAAGTTGGTGTCTGTGTCTGTATTGCCAGCTGTAGCGGTGAGTTGAGATTTATTTATTTGGTTGTGAGCTTTATGGGAGAGACTCTGTTCTCTTTCCTTCTTGCCCTGAATTTTCTGCTGCCAGGTGCCTCAGTAGTATCAGCACTTACTTTACATAAAATTGGATTAAAATTGGATTTGAGGAAAAGCAAGTCCATATGCATTAGAGCTTTCCCTTCAGTGAAAGTAGAGCACTGACATAATGAGTTCTGCGAGGACCAGGTCCTGTTCCCATTTATTCCAGCTGGCAAATTGTAAATGCCACACTGAACTTTGTATCTTGAAATTGTTGTAATAATGTAGTAAGGAGAAAAGTCTGCAATGTTCCAAGTTTCTGATATTTGGAATTGTAGCGTCTTCTGCCAAGAACAGGCCTCTGTGTATGTCTGGATAAGAGCATTACCCATTTAGAGCAGAAGCAGTGTGTGATCCATGTGGCTATTTTAAATGTTTTAAGTAATAACAAGTAAGTTGTTGTCTTCTTGCTGATACCTTTGTCTTCCATCTTTGTACTTCCGTTTATGCACTGATGCCATGTTTGGTTTTATTTTGTAGGCCCTGTTATGAATGAGCTGACAAGACTGAATTTTTTTGATAACACAGTAACAAGAGAGTTGCTGTTCCACAGTATCCACGACGCTGTCCTTGCCTGCCAAGTGAGGGACAGCTCTGCTTCATGGACTGACTTTCACCTCTGAAGGATGGCATCGTGTGGAACGGAAGCCAGATTTATGCTGATAGAGACTCTTTCCGAATACTTCATTTGCACAGTTTAAAGAGAGCCTGAGGCTGTTTGGATCTACGGGTACGGGGTGGTGCTTATTTTCTGTAGGAAGAGTGGATAAGGAATTGGAAGCCTTCGTGCTCTTGAATTTTTTTCCTTCAATCAGGGTATAGCCTTCCAACAACATACAAACTCAAAATTATGCAAGACAAGAAAATTCAGTGTGTTCTGCTACAATCGGAATCTGACAGACAAGGTGACATTCCTATTCCTGTTGAGAAAATGGGCACTTTAACTCACCATGAGGTGGGATCTTGCAGGAAATAACTGTTCTGCAATCACAATGCACTGTACCAGTGTCTTTAAAGAACTTTCTTGGATGACTTTTAAAGCCTGATATCAACATCTGCGTACAACAGATTCATATAAATTATAATAATCTGCCAGCTGGATTAATGAATTCACACTGGTGGCATTTAGCTGCTACTCTGTTTAAACCTGGATGGTACAGTTATTTTTTTAAAATACCTACGCTGTCTCAACTCTTCATTGCCTGGACATTTTCACTCTAAGTGAACTTCAAATTAGAAACTCGTTTTTTAATTATTACATTATCAATATGGTACTTTCACTGCCAAAATCTAGTTCTGCTTTCTAGAAAAGAATACAGCTGATTTGAAGCTAAGATTAGTTTAGCTTCAAAGTTTGAGGACAAAGCTGGTTTAAGGCAGGAGTGCAGCCTATTAAATCAAAACTGATGCCCTATATACAATTTCTTAAGCTGGAATAAAAATGTAGGTCTAAAGTCTCAGTGGTCCAAAAAAAAAAAAAGATAAGTACTTTTCTGTTTTCCTGAGAGATCTTCCTACCAGCAGTGCTGCTTCTGCCTCAGCTTTTAAGCGCTTTGAGAAATAGATTTCAGTAGAATTCAAAAATGTTACGTTTGGGGTTTTTTTTTTCTAAAAGAAACGGTAGCGTGGGGATTTTTTCTATTGTCTCCACACCCTGGCTGCAGTGGTACTGCTTAACTTTAGGTGTGAGAGGAAAAAACATGGAAATGTAATTCAAGCAAAAGACAGAAATCTTCAAGGCCTGTATTTCCCAAACAACAATCACCATGAACCTGAGCAGAGGTAGGAACCTGCAAGTGTTTCTCTGTAGGTTATTTCGACAGCACAGGGAAGTGGCGGGGCAGTGGCATTTCATTTAGCACCTGAAATCAAAGCTCCTGTGCGTAAGGGAATTCAAATGACTTCCTCTCTTTTGAATGCAGAACTTACTTAATACTTTTATTTTGCTTCAAGCTCTGTTGTGATTAGGGATTGCTTCAAGTAAACCGAGTTTCCCAAGAACCGGGGGCAGTCGGGGAAGATGTTTCATTTCCTCAGACTCCCCTGCCTGTAGGGATGGGAAGCTTTCTGCATCAGAAATGACTGCTTAGCTGGAGTTCAAAGGATGAGTTGAATGCATCTTAACACGTCGTGCATGTTTATTTAAACAACTTTTGGTACATTTTATAACGTTAAACAGCCTTTGTATCTACATACAGTATATTTTTCTACTTTCAGCTTGTCGCAGCTTTGGTTTTTAACTATGTAGTCTCTTCAGTTCATGTCAAAATCCCGTTGACTTCTAAAATAAAGTGATGATCATGACTCATCAAACTTTTCCGCTTTGTTGTGGTGAGACTCTGGGACAAGCCAAGGCCCCGTTGCTAGGGGGTGGGGGGGGCTGGGAAGGGTTACCACCTCCACAATTAATGAATGCTGTATTTCCCATCCTGGCAGCAAGAGCTGGACTAAAAGCCTTTGCCCAAGGAAGTCCTCAGTGCCAGCCTGTGCTGCACTGGTACGCTGCAGCCCGCTCCTGCATACTGCTAGCGTTGCTGGTAACTCATCCTGTAACACAAATCTGGCAGCTTCGGACGTCTCTTCCTGTGCTTTGCTGCCACCAGCCGAAGCACTGCTTCACCAGCGTGAGCTATCTACTGAAAAGTAAACTGACTTCCTCTTTCCTGTACTGATTAACAGACTCCTAAAAACTTAAATCCAACCTTAGGCTTGTCAGTGTGGGATTAAACAAGTCCACATCCTTTAACCTTGTAGCAGGGCATGTCTCTTTACCCCCTCCAGTGTGTCTACACTGGGAGGGTAGCGCCTCTGCCCAGCTGCTGCTGAAGCCCTGCCACAGCAAAGGTGACTGGTGGCCTAAGTCCAGTTTGATACCTCTTAATAACCAAAATAATATTCCTCTCCCCATCCTTTTTTGCAAGAGTACTGATGATAATTCAGGATAAGATCCAAACTCTTTTTACATACTTCAGTTATGCTTCTTAAGTAACTTAAGTAAACAATTCCAAGTACTGCTCTTGGTAAATAGCTACTTCTCAGTGCTGCTTTCTGAATCACTTTCAGGCTCCAAGTGAAAAAAAAATTCTGTCCCACCAATAAACTCACATCCCTCCCCAAAATGTTCTTGCCAAAGTAACACATAATCATTGAGATCAGTTTGTCAAGCAGGGATGGGCAAAATCACAGGTTTGCCCCACTTTGCTTAGCAAGATAGCAGCACTGGCCAAAATCCTAACAAAGTCAATGCACTGCATTCGCACTTTCCTATTGTACGCACGCACTTTTTCAAAAAAACCTGAAGTCGCTTCACAATCTCAGCCTGATAAATTGATATCAGTTGTATTGAAATGAGATCTGATAAAACTTCTCTCACTTCCAAGACAAAGCAGCTCCCAAAAGTATTTTTTTCCCCCAGGGATTTCCTCAAGTTCTTCCCCTCCCCCCCCAAAAAAAACCCCAACCCCAACCCACCTTTAATGCAACACCTGAAAAAAAAGATGAAAGGCTGTTGCTTTTCATTGACCAAACCATCCAGCTCTACAGAAACATGCTCCATGAATAAAGATCAACCTTTTCATGTCACCTGCTGCCAACAACCATCAGCCACCACCCAGCTACCAGAGCATCAGGATCCTATCATCGGGGCCATTCTCTGCACATAGCTGTGTCTTAGAGAAGTAGTAAGATGTATTAAAGTGCTCACTAGTAGACTGATGTCAAATTTTATCTTTTTTAGAGCAGGAACAGCAAAAAGGAAACTGCCTTAGCGCTAAGAAATTACGCTTACTTCCTCCTTCTTGACCCACTCACTATTTTGTAAGAAACAAAGAATCTCAGGAAAAGGGATGAAGAAAATCACTGAATTAAAAAAAACACATTATGACCGTACCAGAGTGTTCACCCAGGGAGAGAAAAAATATCCCTTCACATCTTCCCTAAGCTGGGCAACAGCTCAGTCGCCCAAACACCTGAGCTGAGCTGCGTGCGCCGTCTCCTCAGCTCCTTTCCTGTGCCGCTCCCCAGAGCTGCCTCGGGACATGCCTACCTGATGATGCCCCCAGAAACGCCACGGTCACTTAGGGAGCTCTCAGCACCTCTGCTGCTTAGGGGGTAAGTTTTGGGGTGTAGATGGTGAGTAGGGAGCTAACTTTGGAGTTCTAACAGTGCCCAGGCATTGGATGTAGACACCTCTCACAGGTTTAGGCTGTGTTATTAGGATCTCGCTAAGATGTGTTTCCTACAGCAGCAGTGCAGAACACACTCATCATGAGCTCACACCAACTGTTCAGAATACTCCGTTTATTTCCAGATTCCAAGAACAAGACATGAATTGCTACACTCGGATTTTTGTTTCACAGAAAGTTTAACAACAGGAACAGGAAAAACATTCCAAGATATTAGTTGTAGGTCATGTAGCGGGGGGTAGCACTGAATTTCGCGTACGATTTAATGACTTTGTTCACTGCTTCTAAGAAGTCTTTCTCCGTTGCGATTTTTCGACGTGCTCGGATCGCAAACATGCCTGCCTCTGTGCAGACACTGCGAATCTCAGCGCCTTTGAAAGAAAGGGATAAACAAATTCAACAGTGACCACCACCAGAGATGACACATATGCTAAATCGTTAAAAAAATAAAAATTCAGCTTACCTGTGCTATTGGGACACAGTCGAGCCAACAGCTCAAATCTTATGTCTCTTTCAACACTCATTGAACGAGCGTGTATCTTGAAGATGTGAGTTCGCCCCTGAAAAAAGAGTGGAGGATAGAAGTGTTCACAGTAGGAAAGAGGTGATGACTCGGCGTGCGGCTGTCCACATCCAGAGCGAGGGCAGATGGGAAAGAAATCTTTTATTCACTGCCCAACTATAGTTTCCTATGTCTGGGCTAGCATGTGTAAGCATCCATGATAGTAAATTAATAACTTTATAAAGAGCTTTAATGGTAGAAGTACCTCAAGAAATCTCTCTCAAAAGAGCCAAACAAAACACATGCCAACTTAAGAACTACATGATGGACCTGGTTAAAGGATTCTTTCTCTGCCGAGTCAGGAATATGCAGTGAATACTGCTATTTACCATGGCTTCTCAGCCAGGGATGGATCTCTGCAGTGTGGAAAAACCTTTCTGGCACATCTTTAATCCCCCAGATTTCCATGCAGTTCCAGGTTAAGTGAAGAGTGCTGCTTTTGTTAATTCTCCTGAACTGCTTCCAGACAATAATGCCCTAACTGGAGAAACACTCCCATATCAGAATATACTTTGCTGTGAAACAAAGAACCCTCACCTCAAGGTCAGGCAAGCTAAACTCTATCTTCCTATCCAACCTGCCAGGCCTCATCAGGGCTGGATCCAGAGTATCGGGTCTGTTTGTAGCCATCAGCACTTTGATGTTGCCTCGCGGGTCAAAACCATCCAACTGGTTGATCAGCTCCAGCATGGTGCGCTGCACTTCGTTGTCACCCCCGGCCCCGTCATCAAAACGAGCACCTGGAGAGAGAAGACACACGTGTTTCAGAAAATACCAGAGGGACCTTCGGAGCATGGAGGAGGTGTCACAGCTGCTACATAGAAGACACCTGGAAAAATAATTTTAAATTACATGCAAATGTTTGTGACAAGTTTAAACAAAAGGTGCGAGGGGGTTATTTGAAAATGGTACATTTCAAAGAAAGAGTGGTGTTACCTGTCTGTGCTAATAGGCGCTGTACGGAAAGACACATCTCCCCGCCTAATAACTGGCCACGCTGCTGAAATTTATACATGTAGTTTGTTTGTTTGTTTTGCCTCCCCTCAACCAAAATCCTCCCTGCTTTTGCCTGTGTAAAAATTG